GAGCCCTGAAAATATGTTAAGAACTTGAATGACCTGTGATTATTACGAAAAAAGAGAGAAAACTACACACGCTGTTTGCTCGAACCGTGGTTTTAATAAAGTTGCACAAAAGCTAAAATATATATGAGTTTTTAAGTTCTTTTTAATGGCGGAACATACATTTTGGTGTTTCCGCCCGGTTCAGCAAATGTTTTCTGCGATGAGAAGTGATTTTTTTTATGAAGAGGAACGTCTCTGCGGAGCAACACGAGCGTGCTGGTGGCTAAGCTAAGTGGCAATGCGGCTAGCCAGACGACATCTACTGTTAAAGGAAAAGCAACCGATAAAGAAACTGTCATGAACATTTACAAGTGGTGAATCAACCAAAGACAAAGCATCATGGACAGTGAGTGGGAATCCCTATTTGCCGATAGTGAGAAAAAGCTGGTTACTCTGTCACTGGAGGAGCTAAATGCCTTAAGTGAAGCGCTAGGCCTGCAGCTGAGTGAAGAGGTGAAGTCGTCATGTCGGTTAATAAGAAGAAAAATGCTTATTCACTTGGAAAGCGAAGATGTCACTTCTTTAGAGGACAGTGGATTATCAGTGTTGTTGACCATGAATGATTTAATAGATGACATGAATAAGAAAACTGATACGAGTGTTTTGTCAATTGCTGCGTCAAAGCGCACCGCTGCTGAGCATCAAGTGGTTGTTGAGCAACCTCTGCTGGTACAAATCAGTACTATACGTTCAGTTTTACCACCCCAAATATCAAGCAGCTCAGCGAGTTCTGAAAAAGAGTCATCGCAAGTCAAAGACCAAGTAAACTTGCATCCAATATACAGAAAGGATTTTCGGATTATTGGACAAATCGATGATGTGGGACAAAGGGATAAACTGAACTTCACTAGTCTTGAAAGACAAATGGAACGAGGACTGAAAAAAAGGATAGGATGAGGGAGAGATCGATGAAGCAGTGTTCCAAGCCATTGCACCTGATGTGAAATTAAAAAGTTATCTAGAGAGTAGGTCAGAATTATCCTTGAACTCTCTCAGGCAAGTGCTTAGGACACACTTCATAGAGATAGATGCAACAGAACTCTATCATGCTTTAACACGTGCAGTACAAGATCCCAAAGAAACTCCTGTTCATTTTCTTATATGCACAATGGACCTTAGACAAAAAGTATTGACTGCTTCTGATAGAGCCAAAGCTGGACTAAAATGCAATCCTGAGCTTGTGCAAACACATTTTTTGCAAACTATTCTGACTGGATTACAAAATGATGCTGTAAGAGTGGACATTAGACCTTACTTGCAGGACGCAACTGTGAGTGATGAAGTGCTTCTTGAGAAAATGAGTGCAGCCTACAGTGTTGAACTCGAAAGAAGGAATAAACTGTCGACCAGACAAAAGAGTATCAAAGTGGCTTCAGTTCAGGAAGAGGATAACTGCAAAAATGAAAATGTTGGAAGCTCAAAGAAAAGCAAAAGCCAGATAGAAAAGCCAAACCCCATCGTGGAAAAGCTGGAAGCCAATAACAAAATTATTTGTGAAGCTATCCAAAATCTTTCAACCCAAGTCACTAGCTTGACTCAGGCAAAAGTGAAAACTGAAGACAAAAACATAAAAACTAAGGCATACTATGCAAGGACTACCAGAAAGAGTCCCAGAAAATGTCGTCAATGTGAACAATCAAACCCAGAAGGAAAATGTACACACTGCTTTAAATGTGGAAGCAGTGAACATTGGGCTATTGGTTGTCGGAAAAAGAAAGACTCAATAGTTAATGTCAACAAAATTGAAGTACATACTGCAAATTTTATTGACAGTGTTGTTCCACAGAAAGATGTGCCTTTGTCAAAAAAACAGGAAAAAACAGCGAAACTAATAGGACGCAAGAACCTTGTCCAGAGCAATATTGGAGATGTTCCTGTCACAGCTCTTTGGGACACGGGATCACAAGTTTCAATTGTGCACCTAGACTGGAAAAGAGAACATCTACCAGATGCTGAGATTCGATCAGTGAAAGAGCTTCTTGAGATCTTTCTTTTAGACCTTTCTGCAGCAAATGGGACTGAGATACCTTATGAGGGTTGGGTAGGAGTTGAGTTCAGTCTTACAGAGAACAGAGACGATGAACTGTTAGTACCATTTCTTGTAAGCTCTCAGCCAATCACCAAGCCAATAGTGGGTTTCAGTGTCATAGAAGAACTTGCAAAGTCCAACATATCATCAGACAGAACTCTTCCCAACAAGTTTTTGCATAGTCTTGGGTCAGTGTTAGATGTAGGACACAAAAAGACAAAAGCAGTGTTCTCTGTGTTAAGTAAAGACAAATCTTTGTCAGAGAATCAAACAGTAAGGCTAGGGAGACAAGATGTTATTATCTCAAAACGTCAAATGTTCAAAGTAATCTGTGGAAAATTCAAGAAAAATGTGCTGAAGGGACAATATGCGGTTTTGGAACCAAATGAAAGCACCGTGGCCAGAAGGATTACAAATACAACAGCAACTAATACACATACCAGCTGATGAGGGAGCTATGATTTCAGTTATAGTTGAAAATAACACAGACAACGATATCAGAGTACAAAACAGGACAATAATTGGTTCATTATCCACAGTGGATAACATACAAGATGTAAAAGAAGTCACAAAGAAGTCACAAAGTGAAAGTGGACACGCACAATCCAAAGACATGAAAGTGACACCAGAAAATGAAGGAAAAACTGACAAACATGGGATCCACCAGTTGATGTTTCACATTTAACAGCAGAACAAGACAAACTGAAAAAAATGCTACGAGACAAAAGTGATGTTTTTGCACAAAATAAGTGGGACACAGGATGCATACCTGATCTACAGATGAAAATACATCTCACAGAGAAAAACATACAATTCAATCCCTCGTCATTTGTATCAACAGGTGAAAAAACACATTCAAGATCTACTCAGTAGAGGGTGGATACAGGAGTCAACTTCTTCTTACTCATCACCAATAGTAATTGTGAGAAAAAAAGACTCTACCATCCGACTTTGTGTGGATTATAGGCAATTAAACGAAAAGACACACCCCGACAGACATCCCATTCCAAGAATTCAGGAAATTTTGGAAAATCTTGGCGGAAATTCCTGGTTTACTGTGCTAGACCAAGGAAAAGCCTACCATCAAGGCTTTGTTAGTCCAGAAAGCCGAGCATGCACTGCCTTCATCTCGCCATGGGGACTTTATGAATGGCTGAGGATACCCTTCGGACTAACAAATGCCCCAGCTGCTTTTCAGAGGTATATGGAAGGTTGTCTTGGAGACCTCAGAGATGAGATATGTGTGCCCTATCTCGATGATGTTTTAGTTTTTAGCAAAGATTTTGACCAACATGTGGAAAATGTGAGAAAAGTTTTACAAAGACAAAAAGAATGTGGAATCAAACTCAGAGCGAAGAAATGTGATTTCTTTAAGAGGGAAGTGTGTTATGTTGGCCGTGTCATTTCAGAAGATGGATACCGGATGAATCCAAAAGAAGTAGAAGCTGTGCAAACTTTGAAAAAGTCAAATCCTAAAACAGTCAGAGAAGTAAGATCCCTTGTAGGCTTTCTAGGCTATTACCGATCATTCATAGCTGACTTCTCAAGAATAGCAAAACCGCTTTATGATCTGTTGTCACATCCAAAGATAAAGAACAAATCCTCAAAGAAAAGTTCTTCACAGTTGCCACCATCTCAGTCTGTGGAATGGACAACATTACAGCAGGAGGCACTTGAAAGGCTTATAGACGCTTTATCAGATCCACCAATAATGGCCTACCCAGACCTTGAGAAACCATTTGTGTTACAGGTGGACGCCTCAGAGGAAGGTCTTGGGGCTGTCCTGTATCAAAGGCAGGAGGGAGCATTAAGAGTAATAGAGTAATAGGTTATGGTTCACGTACACTCACTCCAACTGAGAAAAACTACAACCTTCACTCAGGGAAGCTTGAATTTTTAGCTCTGAAGTGGGCTGTCACTGAGCAATTGCAAGATTACTTCTTCCATGCCCCACACTTTACAGTGTACAGTGATAACAATCCCTTGACATATGTGATGAAAAGTGCTAAACCGAATGCAGTAGGACATCGCTGGGTCTCAGAATTAGCTGATTTCCATTTTACTCTTAAGTACAGACCTGGTAAAGTGAACCAAGATGCTGATTTTCTATCTCGCAAACCTGAAGAAATAGACAAAATAATGTCAGCATGTACAGAGGAATGTAAAGCTGATGACATAATAGCACTACAGCAAAGCGGATCACAGTGGTGATACTGACTGGATTTCAGCTGTTACATGCAATGTGGATGTACTGTCACAACTAACTGTTCAATGTACAACTCCAGTTGAGCCAATAGCAGTCAAGGACATTCAAATTGCTCAACAAGAAGATCAAGTGACACAACAAGTAATCACATTAAAGCAAAAAAAAAAAAAAAAAAAAAAAAAACTTAAAAACAGGGGTAAAGGGAAAGGGCCAACTGAAGTAAAACGACTTCTGAGAGAATGGCCTCATCTTTACCTGGACAAAGATGGAGTTTTACGACGAAAGACAAAAACTAGAAATCAACTAATAGTTCCTGCTAAGCTCAAGATCTCAATTGGCTAGAGAGAGGTTCTTTTGGCCAAAAATGCGAGAAGAGATCGAACATTATGTTACAAGAGTCTGCCGCTGCTTGAAACAAAAGAAACCCAACCGAAAAACTAAAACCCCACTACAAACTATTACAACCTCTGCACCTTTTGAACTAATCTCTATTGATTATCTGCATCTAGAGAGAAGTAAAGGTGGAGTAGAGTATATTCCTGTAATAGTAGATCATTTTACTAAGTTTGCGCAGGCTTATGCAACATCTAACAAGTCTGGAAAGACAGCTGCACGCAAAATCTTTGACGACTTTATTCTGCGATTTGGATACCCTGCTCGAATTCATCATGATCAAGGAAGGGAATTCGAGAATGAGTTATTCAGAAAGTTGCAGAGCTACAGTGGGATACAACATTCAAGGACAACACCTTACCATCCCCAGTCTAACCCAGCTGAACATTTTAACAGAACCTTACTAAGCATGCTCAGAACACTGGAAGAGACACAAAAACCTAACTGGAAAGACTATTTGAACAAAGTAGTTCATGCATACAACTCAACAGTGCATGAATCAACTGGCTTTTCCCCTTTTTTTCTGTTATTTGGAAAAGAGCCAATCCTACCTGTTGACCTATTGTTTCCAAAAGAGCAAAAGCAGTCACAGTCTCATCAAGACTATGCAGACAAATGGCAAAGGTCAATGCAGGAAGCTTACAGCATTGCACAAGAAAACATCAGAAAAGCAAGTAAAAGAGGACAAAAGTATTACAACAGAAAAGCCTGGAGTTCAGAACTTAAACCTGGGGACCATGTTCTTGTCCAAAACCTATCTGAAAGAGGAGGACCTGGAAAAATACGTGCTTACTGGGAAAACAAAACGCATGTTATAAAAGAAAGAAGAGGGCAAGACAGTCCAGTTTATGTGGTGACACCATTAGATGGTGAAGGGAGGGAAATAATCCTTCATAGGAATGTTTTACTACCCTGTCCTTATCTTATTGATGGACAAGAGACTAAAGAACCAAAAGAAAAAAACAACCAAAAGAGACAAGCAAACAGACAAACACGCCAAACCAAAGACCAAGTTCATGCGAACTCTGACAGCTGTAGTGAGGACGAGTATTCTGTGTGGATTGCCCGTCAAAGCCAGACTACCAGCCTCAATCCACATGCCCCAGTCTGAGGAGCCCTGAAAATATGTTTAGAACGTGATATTGTTTAATTAATAGGTACAGTTATCTTATTGGGCAAGCATTTATTTGATTTAGTATTTAGTTAGAACAATTCAATTGGTTTATGGCTAAATATGTGCTCAAACTATATTATTTTTATTTCATAGATTTCTGTCATGATAATATCCCTTTAAGAATGACACAATGCATGATGGGAGTTTAAAGTTTATGACCTGTGATTATTACGAAACAAGAGAGAAAACTACCCACGCTGTTTGTTCGAACCGTGGATTTTGCTTAATAAAGTTGCACAAAAGCTAAAATATATATGAGTTTTTAAGGGTGCAACATTAAGACACTCAGAAACTACTAACCATGCATGGAGGGTTCCACCCCAAATCTATCACCCTAACTAAACACGAGCCGCAAGGAAGGTAAATAAGGCAGGTGATTCCTTGAGTTTTGGTTTTCTAATTTGAGGGAACCAAACCTTTAGAGAATCCTAAAATCCTTTATCGGAAATAAAGGCCCCTCTTAGAGGATTAAGAGGCAGAGCGACCACAAAGCTGATTTGTTGGACTCTGTGAAGACGTTTGCAGTCTACAGAGGATATGCCACCCAATTCAAGAAGAATGGGTCTAAGTGGTTCCAACACGCAATCTCCTCCTCCGGGTTTAATTGTTTGGAATAAAATGCTGAACATAAATCTTTTGTTGATAAATTACAGGCCTTAATATGTTTAATTTTTCTTTTGTGTGTTTGAATAAAAAAATAAATAAATGCATTTCTTAAAAGGATCAGTCAATTAATACATTTTATTTATAAGGGACCCTTTCATACTAAAAGTAGCTCTAAGAGTCATACCAACACTTAGCCCTCAGGTTTCTCTGACAAACTGTTCCACAAACAGGAGCCATAATACTGGATGGGTAATAAATGACTAAAACTATACGATCACATAAAAGGTTAAAATAAGATTCATAAATATAAATGTATATGTATAGAAAACAAGGAAAATGACAAAACAAAACCTAATCGATTTCTATTTGCTTTTTCTTTTTCCCTCTGTCTGAGCCTCGCACGGTGCATCTGACCTCTGACCTCAAGTCCTCTAACCTGTCCTCCCATGGACCAGATGATGTCCCTCCTACAAAACCAGCCAATGAAAATGATCGAGAAGATCAAGAAGACAAAAAAGACCTCCATCACCTCCAGGGGACAACTGTTGGTCTCCTGTTGGGCATTTGGACTGGAAACTGTGTGAGAGCTTTAACAACCTCGCTGGTCTGCTGTCCAGTATCAGCGTAGAGGAAGAAAAGCTAAACATGCTTCGGAGCTGTGAGAGAAGAAGACTCTGAACTGTTGTCCACAGTTGTCATCTGTGGACAACATGGACATTTCCTGAGGGACGATCTGGACAACCCAAAGATCCAACGCCAGAACCAGTTGGACCCCCAGGAAGCCGGAGGAGAGAGACGGGGGAGGATTTGGCTGCAGCAATGCCGAGACCGAGTGGGGGAGAGGGGCGTAAAGGAAGGAACAACCTGAATCCACATCAACCACTGTGAAGGACGACCTGTCTCTAATGTCCATCTAAATCATGACTGTAAATCTGAAACAGCAACAGAGTGAGCAGCAAAACTTCACTCTACCAAGAATCAAGTACTTCAGCTTTTGACACCAAAGAGGTCAATGTCCAGAGGAACAGCAAGTTTAAATGTTTCTGAAAGACTCTCCACTCAAAGAACTATTGCTGGTCCACTGGCGAGTGACGGAAACGGAGAGTGAAGATTTACACTGTTCTGTTATCCTTAAATATGCATTTAAAAGAGAAAATCAACGTCAGAAATTACTTGGTTTTTCATATGTTTAATTTTGACCAAAGAGGATGAAATCAGATGTTGCCTGGTTGTTTATAACTTTGGTTTATTTAGAATCAAAGAGGATGAAGATCACTTTGAAATTGTTTTGTTTTATTTTGAAGTGGGCGCATTAGAATCAGATGGGGCAACATAAAAATTTTACTTGTTGATTATAATATAACGTGGGTCATATTAAAATCAAAGAGGATGAGATTATATTAAATTTTAATTAGATTTTCATAAGAGGGTGTCTTAATATGACCTAAACTTTAAATTTAAATTTAGGATTTAAAATTTGTGTAAAACCTAAATTTTCATTAACATAAGCAACGTAAAATGAAATTATTCATAATTATCGTGTTAGAGATGTCTAAGGATTGAAATGCATGCAAGGACATGTGGGATTAAAATAATTACTTATTTAAGTATTTAGAAATATTGCTTAGAAAATGGTTTGGTATTCCTCTGGTACTTTACTTCCAAATACATTATTTCAATTTCCTCCTTTTAAAGTTTTGTGAAAGATGACAAAACATATAGAAGATCGTCTCCCTGGCAAGGAGAGGTTGCAGGGTAAATTTTCCTACCTAACAAAAGTAAAATAAATGGATGAATGCTGATATTTTTTTTGTATCCTGCTTACCGTATATGTTTTTGTTTCATCATACAGAATAATGTTTCATTGAATATGTAATGTCTTAAAATGTATGGAATAATATTTTCATTTGTCACCATAAAAATTGTAGAAATTTCCTTTTATATAAGACTCATGTGTTGTCTCTGCCTGGCAGAGCTTTCCATCCAGAATTGCTTCATCATTGATTGTCCTGCGAGCTCTCTGAGTTGTGCACAATTCATAAATAAACCTGATTGAGTGATTTTACTTGAACAGTGCTTGGTAATGGTTTTTTCCCCACAACATGGTCAAAAACATTAAACGCTCTCAAGTAAAAGGCGTGGCAGTTTTAGCTAATGTTGGACCCATGNATGTGACCCCTCCCCATATGACCCCTCCCCATGTGACCCTGCAGGTTAAATGGCTGCTAGGCTCTGTCTGGGGGAAGCACCACTGAGGGCTTTGAGGATTTCACCGGCGGCATTGCTGAGGTCCATGAACTGACCCAACCCGATCCACACCTGTTCCACATCATCCAAAAAGCTCTGGGCCGAGGGCCTCTGATGGGTAGCTCCATTGACGTGAGTGACCCACCTGTCTGACCGGGTCTGGTCAGGTGACCCAGTCTGGTAGACTGATGGTCAGATCACCAGCTCGGCCGACTCTGAAGCCATCACTTCCCAGAAGCTGGTCAAAGGCCACGCCTACTCTGTGACAGGTGCAGACCTGCCCACATCAACCCCACCCTGGCCAGGTGGGCCAGGTGAGCCAGGTGAGTTACTCTGTTTGTGATTGGCTGCAGGTGGAATACCAGGGCGACACGGATCTGCTGATCTGGATCCGGAACCCCTGGGGTCAGGTGGAGTGGACCGGCACCTGGAGCGACAAGTAATTCAACCCAAACTTTGACAAAGCGCAGCAGAGCATTGGGTGTTGGTAGAACCTCAGAGGTTCTGATGGTCTCGATCCGACTGTCAGAACCAGAAATCCAATCAGAAATGTTCCTAGCGAAGCATCAGAGATGATTAGACTTACTCTGTGTGACCCAGTGTAACCACGACAACTATCTGTCCGCAGCTCGGCGCAGTGGCGCTGCATCAACGATGAGGACAGAGAGCGTCTCAGAGCATCCGGCGGTCCAGAGAGACTAGTGGTGGAACCAGACAAAGTTTAACCTCAGAGCGCCAGGAACCATCGATTCTGGTTCGCTCTTCTTCTGTTGCAGGTCCCTGATGAGGTAGGAGGTTAATGCCGCCCCCCAGCTGCACATCCTGGTGAGTTTTCCACCTGTCCTTGACTCTGCTGTCTCTGTCAGTTCTCTGGTCAGAGGAACGTCCACCTGGACAGGAATTTCTTTGTGCGCCACGCCTCTGCCGTGCGCTCAGAAACCTTCATCAACCTGCGGGAGGTCTGCAGCCGCTTCGTCCTGCCTCCAGGGGAGTACCTCATCGTCCCATCCACCTTCGAGCCCAACAAGGACGGAGACTTTTGCGTCCAGGTGTTCTCTGAGAAACAAGCAGACTTCCAGTAGGTTCCCTGGTCTGTGTGGCACCTGCAGGTCACCCACCGTTCAAGGCGTGGCTAATGCGGTTGCTTTTTCCCCCGCAGAGTGCTGGAGGACCCGGTGGAGTCGCGGGTGGAGAAGGTGAGAGTTCTGACCTGGTGTGCTTGGCTCAACAGGTCGAAACATCGACGATGTGGACGACCGATTCAGACGTCTGTTTGGACAGTTGGCGGGACAGGTGAGCCGGTCTCTGATTGGCCGATTGGAACAGCCGCGGTCCGGTGGAACTGATGACTCTCCCCGCCGGACTGCGAGATCTCTGCCTTCGAGCTGCAGAGGATCCTCAACAAGGTGGTGACCAAACGTAAGGAAGCCCTTCAGGGCCTGCGGCTCCGCCCCCTTCTCTGTCTCACCTGCAGTCGCTGCTGAGGGTTTAGCCACCGCTCTGACCTCCACAGGTTCCGACATCCGGACCAGCAGCTTCATCCTGTTGTGGCGACACTAAGGTAGGGATCTGCTACTCTGCTCCTCACAGCAGGGTAACCAGAAGCTGTCAACAACGCCACCTTGGGAATTGCACCCAAGGAATTAGACTGCCAGTAGGCTCGAGGTTCGTGACCAAGGAGAACCAGACTTTTCCAAAAAAATGAATTACATTTTATTGTTTCATGTTAAAAGGGACAATCACAACATAAGGAACACAATAGGAAGGGAGTGTACAGTACTGAGGCCTACCAGCAGGGGGAGGCCGGTCCAAATGGGAACTGGTTCCTAAAATAAATGTATAAATCCAAAATAAATCACCCCAAACACTTGTGAACAGGCATTCAATCATGAAGAAATCCCAACACCGGCCCCTCCCACTACCTTCAGCTCTCAACCTGGAGACAAAAGGCTGGGGTTAAACAAGCAAATACAAAAAACAAATACTACAATTTATACTTGGCCACAGACTAAAATGAGGTTACCTCCAACATAACCAATTAAAATCATCAATGCTTTAATAGAATAATCTAAAAGAACCAAGGGCTGCTACCTGCAGCAAGGCTGGAGGCCACACAAAACAATGGCATGTTCCAAAGTAAATTTAAACCAAAGAAAACCCAAAACTAAGCAACTAAACGAAACAAATTAAACAAAACGGTTACAAAAATGAAACAAAACAGCAGGTTCTCCAGCGAGCTGCAGCGGGGTCAGAGCTGGAATTGGATGAAAAGGTTAGTAGGTGATTTACAGAAGATGGAAGCCAGAGGAAACCATCGTCACCTACCAGAGCTGGACGACTTCACCTCAAACCAGAGGATCCTTTCCGGCCCACAGGAGGAGGATCAGCTTTCCAATATGTTCTATATATGAATAATTGTTATTTTTGATGTTATGGAGCTGTATGGGTGCAATAAAACAACACATACCCATTTTATGTGAAAACTGCAGTGGGGAGGGTGAGTTGCAGCCACACCCCAGTACCAAGCAGGAGACTTCCAGTGGTTTCTAGATTTAAACAATTCAAATCAAACTCTGAATTTGTAGGTCTTATGCAGAAGGAGAAACATTACTTACTGATGTTAGAGCTTAAGACCTGCATGCTTTCCAGGCGACCTTCCCAACAGCATGTGACCAAATGCCAGCGTAAGGAACCAGGTGAGAGTCTCCCTTTATACTCTCCTACAATCATGAGGTGATTAGGGGCCCAGGTGTTCTGAGTATTGGGGCAGCTTCTTCCTGCTACACTGTGCATCTGCCGCAACATGGTCAACCTGCTGGACGCATCCTTCAAAATAAAACGCCACCACACAGATGGAGGCAGTAACAGGGCTCTTATTGTGAAAGCATTGAGTGTACAGGAACCAGTTTAGGGAGGTTGATGGTTGCAGTGGTTGATGGTGGTTTCCATGGTTTCCAGTTCTGAGCAGATCCTGAACCGGGCCACAGAAGGACGGCTGTGGGAAACTGGGTCTGGTCAAGTTCAAGATCCTGTGGACCAAGATTGAGAACTTCCTGGTGAGTCAGTGGTTGGTTGGTGACCTCTGACCCCAGACTGACTTGTCACCTTTGTGTTCCAGAATATCTACCGGACCTGAGATGTGGACGGCGGTGGACGAAGCTGGTGAGTCCGCCCGGGTTCTGGTTCCGGTCGGGTCCAGGACCCGGCCTGCTGGTTCTGATCCCATCGCTCTGTGTTCAGGTTTCAGCCTCAACAGTCCACTGCATCAGGTTCTGGTGGCCCGCTACAGCGAACCGGACCTCACCGTCGACTTCGATAACTTTGTGAGCTGCTTGGTGCGGCTGGAGACCATGTTCGGTGAGTTCTGACCCGGCACCGGGGAGACGGGCCGAACCCCTCCCGACCTCACCTCATCCTGTCCCGTCTCTGTTCGCCAGACTGGACATGGACGGGTCCAGAACTGTGGAGCTGGGCCTGATGGAGGTACCAGGCTGTGGTTCTGAATGTTTCTGTGGTTCAGTGTTTCTCTGACAGGAAGTGGGTCGGAACCGAACCAGCTCGGAGAGCGTGTTACCTTCACCAGCCTGATGGAGGCGCTCCTCCTTTCAGCCAGCGTAGCAGCAGGTGGGGGAGGGGCAGCGGTTCCCAAATGATTTTAAGGATGGTGGATATGTGACCCCTGAAGGAGTACGGAGGCCCAAAACGGCCAAAACTAAAACAAACATAATAATTAATGTGAAATTTGAAATAATTTCTCCGTAAATATTTGAAATATTCTCTGGATTTGGGCTGGTAGGTTCTGAACTCCTGCCGTGACCCGTTAACCGACCCGGCCCGATATGCTGCTTTAGAGCGCTCTGTGTGAAGCTTTTATTTTGAAAGTCGTCCAGTTCTGAGGTAACGGATGTTTGTTTCCTGCAGTGGCTCAACGCGTCTCTGCTCTGAAGAACGGCCCGGTTCCGGTTCCGACCCAGATGGTAGCAGAAGTTTTGGTTTCTTTTGGTGTTTGGTTGTTTATTTGTAAACAAATTGATGTAATCAATAATCAATAAATGAATAAAAAAAATAAAATCAAGTCAGTTCTGCCTTTATTCCTTCTAAAACAAAGAAATCTCTCGGTCCAATCACAGCACGCCTCCTGGGGGCGGAGCCTGTGACATCATCGCCCTGCCTTCTTGAGGGCAAAGTCTTTGGCAAACCTCAGGGCCTCTGTGATGTCACTGCTGCTTCCGGTTCCCTTGGCAACCAGCGCTGATCCCCCAGCGTTCCCTCCTAGGCGGCGGCACACGGCCACCGCCCAATCAGAGGCAGCGAGGGCCGGTGAGTCCTGCGGAGGAGGAGCACAGCCAATCAGAGGTGGCCGGTGAGGGCCCTGCCCCCTATGATGTCAGCAGTTACCTTGGGAACCTGACAGGCACAGAAAACTTTCCCAGAATGCCTTTGGTGAGCGAGCAACATCACGTGACTGAGGGGGGCGGCGGCGCTCAGCTGGTTGACGGTCTTCATCAGAACCTGGAACAGACCCAGAAGAACCGATCCAGTCGCGTTAGTGGTCCGATCCCAGACAAGAACCAAAACCAGGCCCGGTTCCAGTTGGGTCAAAACCCATCGGGCCCGGTTCTACTCACCGACGGCGAGTCCGTCTCCACGGCGTCCACCAGCAGTTCCGTTTGTCCGCGCCGCCGCAGCAGCAGCGCAGCTCTCTCAGCAGCCTGAGCAAAGCATGATGGGACAGCGTGAGCGGCGGGCGTCTCCTGGCGCTGCGCCGTCCAGGTGCTTTCTCACCTGCCGAGCCTCCAGCTTCCTGATGGCGGTGCTGATGGAGCGCAGCGTGGCCCGCAGCCGGACCTGCAGTTCTCGGCGCTGCCACTGGGGGACGGGCATGTTGTCCACAGCCTGTCAGACACAGCTCAGGGTTAAACTGTCACCTCACTGCTGCACGGCATCATGGGAAGGATACCTACATCAGACAGGGCGCCGGCCTCCTTGGAGAACTGGAGGGCGGAGCCTAGGCTGAAGGGGGAGGAGCCTGACAGTCTAGCTGATAGAGAGTCCACTTCCTGGGTCAACGCGCGTCCCATGTCCCTTGCCTGCAGAGACGAACGGAACCAGTTCGGTCCAGTCCCACAGAATCTCAGCTCGAGTCCACCTGGTTCTGAACCATTCAGAACCATTACCTGAGCCATCTCCCACCTGGACAGCGTCCTGACCCGTTACTGCGACGATCCGGCTGATCCCCTTCACCTGCTGCTTCTCAGAGACGATCACCAGATCCTGGATGGAGCCGGTCTGCAGCAGGTGGCTGGAAGAGACACCGGAGATTCACCGGGACAGGTGGGGATGGGGCAGGGGGGCAGGTGGGGAGGGGACAGGGGGGGAGGGGGCAGGAGGGGAGGGGCAGGTGGGGAGGGAGCAGGAGGGGAGGGGCAG